ATAATTTTTGGTGGTGCCCAGAATGGGTCCAAGCAGAGCCATCCCGTCCATAGGAATGACCTGGACCCCGCGCTTTGGAAGGGGCCCTGCACTTCAGGGGGATGTGGGGGTCCAGGGCAGCCTGGGGGGTTGGCAGGGGACCTGGTGCTGGCAGCAGCAAGTGACCTGCCCCCAGCCCACCCCACTGGCATCGCTCAGGGGAAGGGACGGAAGCCAGAAAGAGGTGGGGCAGGGGTGGGGGTTTGGGGGAAGGGGAAGAATGGGGGCAGAGCAGGGGCAGGGCAGAGGGGGCAGGCTGGGGTCAGGTCGCTCACTGCTGCTGGTGCCAGGCCCCCTGCTAATCCCCCAGGCTGCCCTGGACCCCACATCCCCCTGAAGCGTGGGGCTCCCCCAAAGCACAGGCCCAGGGCAGTTGCCCCAGTCCATCCTATGGACAGAACACTCTGATAAAAATATAAGCTCAAACATTGGTGGAACAAGGGCACCACAGGCCCATATAACTCACTGTCTAGGCCCACCACCACACCCATTCCCTTCCCTGAAGAAACCACAGCGACTCCACCAAGTGTGCTCTCAGTGACACTTTATTTCTCTTTCCCTCCACCAATATCACCACAGTTCCCTGTGCTCCTGCCTCTTTGCCAAGCTTTAGGTCCTCTTAGCGGGACCTGAGAGAGAGCAGAAATCTCCCTACTCTCCACCCTGTGTGTGACTAGCCATGTTCCTCTCTTCTCCCCCTTTGGGCTACCTTCCTGTGCCTCTTTTAGCAGCCCTGGGCTGATGGGGGTCAATTGAGTTCTTACCCCCACTAGCCTGAATGGATCATTACCACCCAACCAGCTTCTCCTGGGGCATGAATTAGCCTCCAAGTGATCAGAGCACAGGCTCCCCTGCTCACTCTCTGCACTTTGTCACAGCCTGATCAAGTGAGTAGCTGATCAAACAGCTTTTCCCTTGTTTGTACTGTCTTATCCCCAAAATTATCTGTTTTGGTATCATTAAAATGAGTTAGTTACCATGAATTCCCCAGGCTGCACAAACAGCTTGGATTGTGCACCTTTCTTATTACTGCAAATATTAAAAATCAGGCAGGGTCTAGACACAGGCTCTCAGAACCCCTTCATCGGGGTTAGTCTTTCTCTCGCTTTCTTCACTTCCTTTTTATTTTCTTCTTGCTTCTTTCTAAATGCACCGGTCCTTGGAGTGCAAGGTCTGGGCAACTTGTGCCTTTTGACTTCCTGCCACTGCTGGCTGGGCTGATGCCATAGAAGCTGCAACAATGGCCTTCCAAAAAGCCACCATGCTACAGGAACAGAGGAGCCAAGAGGCAGCTTCCATTACACCTGATGTTGCAGGAACAGGGGTGGCCTGACATGTTTGCAAAGAAAATAACTTACGTCATGACAGTGAATGGTAAAGTAGCTCAAGTCACACTGAAGATGGATGGGACTGGTGGGGTTGGTTGTTTTACCATAACAGCCAGAATATTAAGGTGGCTAAATCAAGTAGTATATTAAAAAATATGATCCTAGTTTGTTATTAACATGTATTTTAGCATTTTTACCACCACATATTATCTAAAACCATGTTTGATTCATGCTCTTCGCATGTGGGAGTTTGTTTGACATTAATATACTAATCCTGCCATCATCTCACAGCACCTAATACAACCGGATAGCCCGTGATGTAGAGATTGTTTTAAAACAAATTTCCATTGTGCTGTTTCCCCCCACACACACACCTTGATTTATGAGATGGCATTTTCCTACAACTTCAGCGTGCCGGACATGTTCTTTGAAATGGCCCTAGGAATGGAGCCAAAGTTCTCAGACAGCTTCTGATTTTACATACCCAAGGGTGTGTGCAACTGTTTGCATTTGCAAAAAAAAATGGGTGTATATATCCATTTGAAACACAGGAAAGGCTGTTTTTTATAGGAGTGACCAGGCAGGTATTCACAAATGAGTCTGAAAAAAAATCAAAAGCCAGGGCTGAAAATTTTGCCCCCTGAAGGAGGTGGTGGAAAGAGCATGTGGCCAGTTGTAGTGGCCCTACCAATTCTGCCACTAAGGAGCCTTTCCAGAGAAAGCCCAGTATATTTGCTTTCCCCCATCAATATATAGAGCCCGATTAATGCATTTCTGATTAGAGAAATAAGCAACTAAAGATTAGATGAGAATGACGACATCCCAAAGCAAGGACACGTTTCAGTCCAGGCTGTTCTCAGATATGGATTTCTTTTATTTTCAGTTGGGTGGGAGTTGAGAATGAAAAACATTTTGTCTTCATGAAATCTTAGGACACAAGGTTACACTAACATTCTTACATTCCTCCATTTAACCTGTGCACTCAGAAAATCATTGCTAAAACCAGTTATTACACTGATATGAAAAAATATTTATTACTGTGTAAATTAATATTATCTCCTTAACATGCTGTTATTGGGTCTTTCTGCAGTTCCCAGCTAATTGACCTGTGAAATTTATTCTATGGCTGCCACAGTCCACATCACAATATAAGCTTGTCCTGAATACAATATACAGGGGAAAGGGCATTTCAATATACCAAAAACTTCAAGTCATTTAAGAACTTCAATCATCTTTCATTTATTTGAAATGACTTATTTACTTTGGCCTGGAGACAAAGGAGTGGTGAGGATGGGCACAGGGAGCTGGTGTGTTTTAGAATAAAATTAACACTGTCTGAAAGTTACACAGCAGTTTTCCCCAAACAGAAATGAACTCATCCTTGTGAATTTAAAAAACAGGAGAAGAAAGTGCCCTTCCTTGTTCATTAGGAACCTACAAGATTCACTGTGGCCAGTGGCCCAGCTGGGAACTATGATACAAGTCACAAGAGCAAGAACGTTCAATTTTGGTTTTGCTTTTATCCCGTTGTGATTGTGGCAAATGTGAACAATATCCCAATTGACACAGTCCAACCAGCTGTCAATGAGGAGGTCACCAAGCCAGCCATTAATGTTATGTGACATTGGTAATCCAACTCTGAGTTGAAATATCATTCAAATATATATATATTAAAAAAAATACAGCTTTTCCTCTTGCTTGAGGCCATTTTCGGCCTCTCCAAATCAAGAGACTGGTGCATTGCTAATAAAATTCCACAGAACTCTTAGATGTTAACCCCAAAAGTTGGCCAAACTCATATTTGTGTAATTACATTCTGCCCACAGATTTCCCCTTACATTTTCAGTTAGATACAGTATTTTTTACTTTCTCTTCCAAATTGTTAATACCGTTGTGCACTCTTAAAGGACACAGTCAGGTTAGTTATTTCTAAATATATATATATATTTATTTTATTTATTTATTTATTTTATTTTTTCTCCTCTAACACATCAGATTATTCAAACCAAAAGCATTTCTACACTCTAAGTTTACTGTGCACCATCTGTGATCCTTTTCTACTTAATTAAATCTGAATAATTAACTAATCAAGCACATGTTGGCACTTTAGTGAAAATGTTGATTTCTAATGCACCAGTCACAGCACTGCCAAGTTTGGATTGTAAAAAGTGTAGATTTAAATCAAAGTCAGAATGCCCACTTAAAAAAAATAAAGCCTAGTTATTTGGTAGAGAGATTCTAATTATTACCTCAACACATAGACAATGCAGGAATTACAGTGTATGTTAATTAAATGTTAACTAAATGGATCTAAAACGTTTAACTCTGCTGAGAGTTACCATGGCTTTATGGATTTAGAAGGGGAAAGTGATGTATTTGATGTTCTGTGTTTGAAACTGTTTCTTGGATGAATCTTTTGAAAAGTGAATTACCAACAAAAGTACTGCAGATGTGCAATGTGTACATTTTCGTTTCTTCCTGATCTTTGACATGAATTCACCGCATGCAAAGAAGTAAACCATTTGGCAATGAAATTACATTGCTATGGCAATCAGCATGGTATATCATTTTTACTATGATCACTATTGCAAGTCATTCCACTTTTTATAACTGTCTTCACATGTCCTTTTCTTATATGGCCCAATCCAAAAAGCTACAGCTGATCTCAAGAGGTGAATAAGGAGGGATAGTAATTGTATTATAAATACAAAAAGTATATACTATTAAGCGTAGGCCTAAAAGTAATTTTGGTTCAAAATTCAACCAAGAATTTTTAAAAATACTGTAGTTGGTTTAATGGGAGATGTGTTCTCTAGAAGTTTTAATGCCTCTAAACAAGCCATAATTACCCAATTCTAAAAATATTTTCCTACAGATCCAGCAGAGTTAGTTAGTAGAGGGAATAAACTTACACAACTATTCCCAGAGCTTTTTCAATTGTGACACTTCAGATTCCGAAAGGACCTGCCTCACACATAAAAAAATCCCTATGTTTGTCATATCCAAATCACAGGAAGAGTAATTTTAAAGCTTGCGATGGAGTATTAAACAGGATTTTTTTAAATTCATAGCTGAACATTAACAGAATTTCAGCAGAGCACTGTACTGAAGTTTGATAAGTGTTCAGTCAAATATAAAAGACCAGAGCTTGAATAAGTGAGAAATTCTATACATGCCTAACATTTGAGAATTTAGAATGTTTTCATGGGACTGGGCTTAATCATTTTCACTTCATTGGTTAAGCCCATGACACTCATTTTCTAATATGTGAGTTAATGCAGGGTTTTTAAAGGGTGCAAAACCGACAATGCTACAAATGGAAAGATTTTACTCCAGAAACAGGCACAGCACAACATATTGCTAATGTGCCTCCACCCCAGTTATAGCAATCATTTCTAGTGTGACAGTACGTCAGACTTCAAGACTATTTAGTCACTAACCACCACCAAGTGTCCCCGTTTGTCTCAGTTATGTGGACCACATTCGTATTAGTGAGCTAGAGCTGTATGCCTCTACATTGTGTTTCTCATCACTACTCCAAGAGTAGTTTGCCTAAGACTTAGGGTAATTTTGTGAGGGAGGTTGCTTTAACTAAACAACACCTTTCTAATTATCACTCACTTCTCTAGAAAATTTTAAATAAAAGTTTATTAGAGAAATTACTTTGAACAAAAAAAAGGCAACAATATTTGTTTTGTCATTTAAAAAAGTAACATTGTTTTCTTCATGCCCTTTTAGGTGAACTGAAGTAATGCTACAGAAAGATATTTCTTTTCACTGCCTTTCTGCGATGCATTCTAGCATGGATTAACTCATGTCTGCATCACTAGAATAAATTATGAACAGTCCTTTTCCATGCTCCTCTCCAGAAAGTGCTGCATATTAACAGAAAATGTTGCACAAAAAACATTTCTATTCATTCTGCAGTATTGGAACCAGTATCTAGAAAACAAAGAGAAAGTATATAAATAAATACAGATAAAACATTGCAAAGTTGAGTACAAGTTAACAAAAAATTAACATTCTCTATGTTGGTAAATGTTTCCCTGCCGACCTCAAAATACAACGATTTAGTGTCTGTATTATAAAAGCTGAAACAGCGCCACTCCTGCATAATTTTGTTTCCATATGTATCCTCCTTCATTGCCAGGAAGAAAGCGTGGCGTAATTATGTTATTTTACTTGGTTAGCAGTAATGAAAACTTTGAACACAAAAATTCTCTGTCCCCATACAGTCCCCATTTTTAAAAATTGAAGTAAGTTTGCTCTAAATTAGAGTAATACACTTAAACACTTGATTCCAGCCAGCTCACAAGATATGCTCTTGGGGCATGCAAGTGCTAGAAGGCCATGTAGTCTGTTCAAGAGATAGGTCCTCAGATGTCTGATAAGTGACAATGTACAGGCTTTTGTCCAGTCTGGGCAATGGTGCATTTAACATAGATTTAAAATATCATATAGACGTAAGAGTTCTTTCTAAAGCTGAATTACTTAAACACGCAAGCAACAGTGCATTCTGTAAGAGAGAGGCAGCCGGCTGACTGCTACTATTTCTTATATTTGCTACTATTACCTCTCTCTTGTTCCTGGTGCCATGGGACAAATGAGTAATCTAGTTATTGACTACAAGACAAGATAACAATGGATAGGAGAGTCCTTATTTTAAGAAGCTAACTACTTGCTGAAAAATACTAAAGATATTGTCAGCAACTTTATGGTACTGTGGTCTTCAAATCCGGTACTTATACTGTGATATTATAAATGGAAATTATTCAGACATGGAAAATTAGCTTTTCCTTTAACTGCTACAATAAATACATCTTAAGAAATAAACAGGTGAATCAAGGTGACATGCATGCCCAACATTAAAGACAAGGTACATGTATGGAACGACTTATCAATTGTTGAGAATCAGTCAGTCTCAAAACATCACTACAATCATGCCAAGGCCAGAAAGCCCTAAAGGATTAGTTCCATGCACCAAGACTTTTTTTAAAAGATGTACTATAAAGGGTTTTCTGTTCTCACTTCCTCCTTTTAATGTATTAAGAAAGGAATCTTAAGCAACTGAAATCCATCAGCTAGAAACTATAAAAGGTTATTCTTTGGTAAAGCATTTCAATTGAACATTTGGCTAAACAAGCCAGACAAGTAGAGAGAATGTATGAGCTAATGACCTTCCATGGACAGTACATACGTGGCAGTTAAGTCATGGAGTGCAAATTACAGGACTTGGTCTGTAATATTAAAAAGACAACATTTCTCAAACCCTGGGATCCCTCAGTCTCCTAAGAACGGAACCGATGTTTCAAAGGCTTCCAGCAATGCCCTTATTAGTTACTTATTGCTGCTGAACAAACAGTAGCACTTTTCATCCTTTGGATTAGACCTTTGATTCAATATTTCTGCATGTGTGCAGGAGAGTTGTGCACTCCTGTTTTAGTCTGAGTTATGCAGGATGTAACCAGAGGTAGAAGATAGCTCCAATCACAGACTATTTAAGAACTCTGGCTGCACAAAGTGTATTTCATAATATCATTCAAGTCTTATCTCTGTTAACCTAATATTTATACTATGGTTCAGTACTATACTTACTTTTTCCGTCACATGCAACAATTTTCACTTTATCCACTTTCACGAGTTCCGTTACCTCTCGAAATTCAACATCATTCAGTACAAAAGTCCACACATTATCACAGAATCTGTATGTATTCAGAGAGCCCTTTAAAAGAAAGATGTAACATAAAAAACTATTTTCAAAAGATCTCCAGTACAGTAACAGGAATAAAGTTATTCTTGTAGCTATAGCTTAAAAATTCTTAACCTTTGAAAAATTGTCATCTTGTCTGCTTCCAAAAATAGTTAAAAAGTTTACTGATAGTCGTTAATTTAAAGTCGGTGCTTTTGTAGTTATAACCAGACTGGATGTGCTTCTGTTATTAAGCTATGAGCCAGAACATGCAAGCTTATAAAATCTGAGGAAAACACAGATTTAAGCAAATCTGAGGAAAATTGTGTAGTTTGACAGGTTTCAGAAGTGGGCTGTAGTCCACGAAAGCTTATGCTCTAATAAATTTGTTAGTCT